CATAATTGCTTCAACCAGTGAAAAAATAATTAAGGTCAGATGTATAGGAAATCAAATTCAGTTCATGCATTTTTGCAATGGATTATTTGTTTGCAATTTAGGTACCCTTTTAGGATACTATTCCAAGTGATGAAAAAATTGCACTAAAAATAAACAATTTGTATTTGGCTCCTTATCACTAGGCAATTCTGATTTCTGAGTGCCTAGAAATGACTACTTAAAAATTGAAGAAAAAATTCTTTAACTTGAACTTTTCACAAATGTTATCTACTTAAGTACATGGAAATAACAGTCAACAACATCAACAACAAAAGAAATAACAATCAACAATTAAAATTGATGTATACACTGTGAATAATTTGGAAAGAAGATGCTGGATTGAATCTTTGGCAGTACCTTTCTTAGTTTAGTGATATCCATATTTTAAAACATTGTAAGGGACTGAGGAGAGAGCTCAGTAGAATAAGTACTTTCTGGCAAGCACAGGGTCCTGAGTTCAATCCCTGGTATCGCAAAAAAAAAAAAAAAAAAGTATATTTTCTTCTATCTTACACCATATACAAAAATCATTCTTACAAGTCTAAATTTGAATAGTAAAATGGTACTTCTAGAAGATAACATAGAAAAGAATTTTCTTACTACAGGGTAAGAAAAATGTTCTCGATGAGTCACACAACAAAGGATAATTAATAAGTGGAACTATATTAAAATGAAGAACTTCTAGTTATCAAAACAGAGATTTAAAAAAAAAACCCAGAGATTAAGAGAGTAAAAAACATTCAAGTCATAAAATTAAATCCAGAGTAAAAATCCAGAGTAAATCCAGAGTAACCTTTAAATCCAGAGAACTTTATGGACTGTATAAATAACTTATTTAAATTGACTTTTAAAACAGAGAACAACATATTAGAAAATGGGAAAAATAGTTTTATACACTTAAAACGGAGGATATATTGATGGACAAAGTGCCAAACTTTGATAATTTGGAACATGCGAATTTAAACAAGGTGAGAAAATTTAAAATTTCTGAATTTAGTTCAGCTTATACTCAGAAATTTTAAATTTTCTCACCTTGTTCCTTTCTACTTTGAGAATTCTAATTATATGAATATAAGTTTCTTGGTTCTGACACAGTGAACTATTATGACTGATCTGTAAATTCTTTCTTCATTTTTATTTTGGACAGTTTTTATTGTTATATTCAGTTATATTTGTAAATAATTAATTTTCAATTTGAGATCTATTAAAAATTTAAAAAATAATTAAAATAAAAATAAGGTGAGAGTGATATATGCCCATCAGAATTTCTAAAATTATAAAGAACGAGTGTAAATGGATACAAACACTGTGGATTGCACCTTTGGCACTACCATGTCTACGAACACCCAACAGGTCCACACTGCAAAATCTTCCAGTTCTAATCCTAGGTTTATATGCAAGAGAAAGGCAGATGAATGTTTGCCAAAAGACTTGTAGTCAAGCCTACATAACATCTTTATTCACAATTCTTCAAAATTAGAAACAATTTAGATGCATAATAAAAGAATGAGTGAATAAATAAAAGATAGCATAGTTGTACAATAGCATAGAAAACAGGCCATCTTACACAGCTCCACTTGCGCCGGACACAGGGAACAGTGAGCACACATTTCCCGCAGCCGGATCCCCGCGGACAGGACTCCGCTGCTGCAGCCCTGCGGGGAGATCTCTGGCAACACGCTACAGAACATGGTAATGGAAACGGTACTGAAGAGCCCATGGATATTACTTCTGCAATGATCCACTCAGAAAATTTGCAGACATTGCTTGATGCTGCTTTACCACAGAAAGCTGCTGAAAAACTAGATGAAATTTACATTGCAGGCTAGCTGCACATAGTGAAAGAGCTATCGAAGCTTTAAAAGAGTTCAATGAAGACGGCGCCCTGGCAGTTCTTCAACAGCTTAAAGACAGTGATTGCTTTCATGTTCAGAGCATAGAAAACAACAAGATGAGTTATTAAAAACTAGAATAAATCCAAGCACCATATACACAAAAGAATACATACCTTACTGAACATTTTCTATGTTCTAGGAAAATACTTCTAGGTCGAGAGCCTTCCAAGTGGTTTCTTTGCTACATCAAATTTCTGATTAAAAA